TGGAAGAGCAGTCAGTGCTCTTAACCTCTGAGCCATCTCTCCAGCCCCAGTACTGGTGCTTTTGTAGCGCACCCACACGGTGGCTCACAACTGTCTCTAACTCCAGTTTCAAGGGGATTCAATGCCGCCTTCTGGCCCCAGGGAGCTTGCATGCACATCGGGCAAATATGTGCATGCAGGCCAAACACCCAAATCTGTAAAATACTTTTTAAAGGTTTATTATGTATACAGCGTTCTGCCTGCATGTTGTCTGCACACCAGAAGAGGGCATGGGACCTCATTACAGATGGTTGTGAGCCACCATGGGGTTGCTGGGAATTGAACTCAGGACCTCTGGAAGAGCAGCCTGTGCTCTTAACCTCTGAGGCATCTCTCCAGCCCAGTAAAACATTCTTTAAAGTTGACTAAATAAACTTACAGTGGCTTTATTCATGATAGCCCCAAACTAGAAACCAGGTGGATATTCCTCAGTAGGTGACCAGTTCAAGTACACAACGTTCAGACCACAGAGCGCTGCTCAACAGCAGGAGAACCAGCTACTCACGGTCTAGTGTGGTTGGATCTCCTGGGAATTATTATTAAAACCCGAAGGTTACACACTTCATGATCCTACTTACATCCCGTTCTTGAATGACAGAATCAGAGAAATGGACACATTAGTGGCTGCCAGGGGAAGAGGGAAGCGGACACGAAGAATCCAGGGGTAACATTTTGCCCTTTACTGGGCCAAGGTCGATAACCTGGTTGTGGCACCGTACTATAGTTTGGCACAGGATTCCTGTTGCAGGAACTGGGTCAAAGAGGACCTGTCAGTAACTGTATGTGAATCTATAAATGACCTCAAAAATGAAATTTATATTAAAAAAAAAATAGCGAGGGCTAAATGCCACAGAAGTGGGGTGATCCCAGGATCCCTGAAATTCAGAGGTCAAATGTCCCCGTGGATCTCAGGGATTGTCGTGGACATGGTAGTCTTGGCTCAGAACCCTTCCTCGAGGCTAGCATGCCTGACCCAGACAGTCATTTATCTCCTCAAAGCACCTCTTGGGTAGCTAGTGTTGACAGTGAGCAATTTATGAAATAATGAATTAGTAATCAAGTTAGGGAAGAAACAAGAGTAAATAGAAATGCTTTATGGTCCTACTGCAGCAGGGAAATGCAGGTTGGAACTTCAGGTGCACAGGCTAGCAGAATAGCTAAACAGGGGTGTCCCAAGGGTGACTGATCTGCTGATTTCTGTGACTGGGGTCCTAACCAAAGAGAGCAGAATTCTGGGCACCTCGGGGCTGCAGACTTGGCCACCACTGCCTCCACTGTGTGTGACCACAGGCTTGGAGACGAGGTCTCTGTGTTGAGGAAAAGCTAGAGTTACTTTCTAAAAAGCCATGCATGGTTTCCATTGGAGTTTAGTAAGTTTGTGCCATACTTGAAGATGGAGTTCTTCCTGGTGTCTGTGCCGAGAGTAGATCTCCTCTGTCCCCTTCCTGCTCAAAATCCAGGTAAGTCCATGCCGTTGGTGATGGGAGAGGAAAAGAAGGAGAGCGTGATTAGAGATGAGTCCTTGTCACTTGTGAGGTACTATTTGCCTGTTTTTTTGTTTTTTTGTTTTTTTCTTTTTTTTCCGGAGCTGAGGACCGAACCCAGGGCCTTGCGCTTGCTAGGCAAGCGCTCTACCACTGAGCTAAATCCCCAACCCCATTTTTTTTTTTAAACGTGTTTTTATTATCAAAATGGCGACCGTATGGAAAACGGAGCTCTTTCATTCTACCGAAACGGGACTCCAGGCCGAAGTGTCAAACCAAAACACAGTGGCTGCATGGGACCTGACGACTGAAAGTCGGAAGTGAGGGAGAGAAATGCGGTGCAGGGCGTGGGTCTGTCTCTCCCATTACTAGCATTCTCTTCTTCTAATCACAGGCTTTGAAAGAATCAAGGAGGAAAACAAAAATGATACTCACTTCCGCTCTTAACATGAACGGACCTACCTTCCAGCCGTACTCAACGTCTCTGCATCTGTGGACTCAAGATGAAGTCCAACCCTCACCCGAAACTAGCACCTGGGCCAGTGTTGACCCTGGGAGTCTTCACCCACACGCCCAGGACCTATCAACACCTCATGGCTCTCTGCTATCCTTCCTATTCTACTTTGAGTCCACGGTGGACCTCACCCTTGCCACCTTCTACCTGGCAGGCTCCTACTCATTCTTCAAAACCCAGCCCCACGGTGACCTGGTAGAGGTGACATGCTGGGCCTTTTCCAGGGAGCCCTCACTGCCTGTCCCTACTGTATCATTTTCTCCATTGTACAGTATGGCGCCGGGGTGCAGAAACTGTCTGCCATTTGTCTTTGTGTACCCCAAGTCTTAAAAAGTGCCTAAAATCCATTGTATGCCTTCAATAAATATGAAGTGGATGAGGGAAAGAGGAGGGAAGTGGGGGGGGAGATTGAAGCATCTCATCGTACACACTGTTATCACTTTTAGAATAGTATCTGAGCACATGTTACTGAAACCATTTTTAAGATGTGCTGTTTAAACTGAGTAACGCTTATACTCAACATTTCAGAAGATACCGTTGGCACTCACCCCTCCTCCCCTCCATCCCTACACACTACCACAGACCTCCCCGCCACAGGCAAAGTAATGTGCTATGTGTAGGCTCCAATTGGCTCATAAGTTAAAATATGAACAAACAAACAAAAATCAAAAACTGACTTTTAACTATATGGCTGAATGCACAGGCATGAGGCTCATAGAGCATGGTCATTTCTAGGCAGACAAATCTGCTGATTTTGCATTAACCCCAAAATACATTTGCTGCATGGATTGGGGATCATAGCCCAAATTGGGCTAGGCACAGGAGGGAAGCCTGTTGCTCTGACTGATTGATAAATAAAATGCTGATTGGCCAGTAGCCAGGCAGGAAGTATAGGATAGGTGGGACAAGCAGAGAAGAGAATTCTGGGAAGTGGAAGGCTGAGTCAGGAGATGCTGCTGATGCCATGAGAAGCAACATGTAAAGTACTGATGAGCCACAAACCACGTGGCAACTTATAGAAGAATAGAAATGGGTTAATTTAAGATGTAAGAACTAGATAACAAGAAACCTGAACCATTAGGCCAAACAGTTTAAATAATATAAACGTCTGTGTGTTTATTTGGGTTCAAGTGGCCGGCCACAGGGCCATGGGAGCTGAGCCGAACCAGAAAAACTTAAGCTACAGAAGGCAGCCTGGTAAGAAGTAGGATCACTTAACAGGGAGGACTGTCCCACAGGAAACATCCTTAAAGCCAAGACGTCAGGTCTGGTGGTTTTCAAGGGAACATGAAGATCTGGATATTTTCATGGCATCTGATGGTTTCTAAGTGTTGATTTCCAAGTCAAACAATATTAAAACACTAGGTCCAAATCCCTGGTGTGGGGTGGTGATGGAGAGTGCTCATGGTTGACTGTGGTCGAGCATCCTCAATTGGTCACACGTGCATGTCTCAGGCTAGAATAAGGGACTGTCATTACAGAAGGCAGCCTTGACCCAAAGGATTGGGGGGACATTTAAGATGTGATCCTTGTCAACTTGGATGTGCCTTTGTGATAATATCACAGAGAACAGAATGGCTGGCTCCCCAGGATCAGGGGCGATATGGGCATCACCCCGCCCCCATACACACACACACACACACACACACACACACACACACACACACACACACACTTTCCAGCAGAGCTTCCTTATAAGCACATCTCCACCTTCGAGGCTCTGGTCAGTACAGTCACGGGCCTTGGTCCTCACCTTGGCTCTCTTTTCTTGAACTATGCTCTTCCGAAAAAGATAGCTGGTCCGAGTCAAGGCTGCCATCTCTTTTACTTGAACTTACCGAGAATCCTAGAAATGGGAAGTGAAGAGAGAAAGAGTGAGTGTTTGTGGGAGGAAGAAGCGGGGGGTACGTTCCTGAGAACGAGAGTTTTGCCTCAGTGTGAAGGCAGAGTTACCATCATCTTCCAATGATGGAGATGCAGGATGGGGATCCCAAATGGGGATCTGGTAACCTGCGATCTTACTTGGCTGATGGCAAGGACTCCTCTCTGACATAGGGAGATGAGATGAGAATAGACCATTTGGGGCTTGGGGGAGAGGGGTCTCCATTTTCAACATCAGTTCATCATAGCTCCTGAAATCCCACAGAAGCTGTTGACACTCATCTGAGAGGCCTACTGGGTTCTGAGTATCTCCCACTTAGAAAAGAAGTCTAGGATGAGTAAATCTTAAACTGATATGAAAACATATTGCTGCTTTCAATCTATTTTTTTTTCTTTTGCTAAACATCATTTAATGAGCTTTGATCAAGTGCCTTCACTGATATCCCTTACAACCGGTTCCCTGCAAAACAAATTCTCCAATCTTTAGTTTGCCAATTTCTGTGGTGTAAATGTTCAAATCATCTGGGCTCCCTCTAGACTTCCTGTATTTGTTTTTGTTTGTTGGTTTGTTTGTTTTTGGAGACAGGATTTCTCTGTGTAGTTTTGGTGCCTGTCCTGGATCTCGATCTGTAGACCAGGCTGGCCTCGAACTCACAGAGATCTGCCTGCCTCTGCCTCCCAAGTGCTGGGATTAAAGGTGTGTGCCACCACTGCCCATCAACTTCCTGTTCTTGTATGGAATTCTGGAAATGCTTCAGGCAGCAGTTGAGAATCTTGGCGCTTACCTAATTACTTCCCCTGGCCTAGGGATGACTCTGCTATGTGCTTAGCAACCAATATCGGTTATTCTATCCGCTATTTCAGAATTTTCTTCAAGAGGAAGTGTTCCTAGCTACTCCAGGGTTGCTGGGAAGAGAACCTTCAGTTTCGATGTGGCTCTCTTTGGATCAGACATGGAATGTTCACATAATGGGCTCTATCTCTGCTCCTTAACTGACACCCCTCACACTGGCACAGCACTATTCTAATTATCGGAATATATTAGCATATAAAATTATAATATATTTAAATATGCAATATTTAAAGTCATATTAGTGACCCACCCACCTCCATTACCTTCTTAAGTCAAAAGCATTTATCTTTCAGTATAAGCTTCAGGCTCATGGTAGAGTCCTGTCCGCTCTGATACTCAACTCCCTGAAAATCCCTTGGTAATAGCATTTTTATTATAATCCCACCAAATACACACATTTATTTCAAGGAAATAGGTAACTTCACAATCAGTTCTTCTATCTGAAAATACAACATAGTTTTCCATTTGTCAAATCTCCAGGTCACACACATTAAAGCTGTTGTTTTGTTCACTTCAAAGTATTTGTACAGTTTCAGTGAACACATTTAGTTTATCCCAGCTAGTATATTAGGTTAATAATGTATAACTGACTTTGTATCCACTGATCGATCCTATTATAGAGTGATGGGTGATGTTCTGTATGCTGTGAATGCGTGTTGCTCTGACTGGTTGATAAATAAAACTGTTTGGCCAATGGTGAGGCAGAATAAGGTTAGGTGGGACGTTCTAACTAGAGAGAGGAAGGAGAAAGAGAGCAGAGGAGATGTTGCTAGCCACTGCCAGGAGAAGCCAGATGTAAAGATACCGGTAAGCCACAAGCCACATGGCAAAGTATAGATTTATAGAAATGGGTTAATTTAAGATGTAAGAGCTAGCTAGTGAGAAGCCTGCCATGGCCATGGTTTAAAAATAATATAAGCGGAGCCGGGCGGTGGTGGCGCACGCCTTTAATCCCAGCACTCGGGAGGCAGAGCCAGGCGGATCTCTGTGAGTTCAAGGCCAGCCTGGGCTACCAAGTGAGTCCCAGGAAAGGCGCAAAGCTACACAGAGAAACCCTGTCTCGAAAAACCAAAAAAAAAAAAAAAAAAAAAAAAAAAATAATATAAGCGGGGTTGGGGATTTAGCTCAGTGGTAGAGCGCTTGCCTAGCAAGAGCAAGGCCCTGGGTTCGATCCTCAGCTCCAAAATAATAACAACAACAACAACAATAATAATAATAATAATAATCCTCTGTGTGTTTATTTGGGTATGAGCGACTGCGGGACTGGTGGGTGAGAGAGATTTGTACTGACCACAGGCCAGGCAGGACACAGGAAAACTTTCAGCTACAATAGAGGTCTTTAATAATACCAAATAGTTTTTGAGATACCATCATATCACCTATAAATAATGTATTTTCTGTGTGCTTATGTCGTTTTATATCTGAAGCTAATTTGAGTTTCCAAATTAATAATATATGGTAACAAAGGTAATAGGAGGGGCTGGAGAAATGGCTCAGCAGTTTAAGAGCACTGGCTGCTCTTCCAGAGGACCTGGGTTCAATTCCCAGCACCCACGTGGCAACTCACAACTGTTTGTGACTCCAGTTCCAGGAGATTTAAAATCGTCACACAAGCATATATTTGGGCAAACCACCACATAAAAATAATAAATAAATCTTAAAAAAAAAAAAAAGGTAAGAGGAACCCTTGTCCAAGTTTTGATTTTTCAATTCTGACTGTGAAATAACAAACTTTGAGCAGACCGCTCTAGAATCAGGGTTTTCACTTAGCTTGAACTAAGACCTGTCATGACTTACTTTCTAAGAGTCTTGGGAGAACGGGGGTACTCTTTGCTGCCTGGGCTCTTTTTTGTGATTGCTGCAATTGCCAGTGTTTCGGAGACAACTTCAGCAGGAAAAATCCATATTTTATATACTCCTTGAGGAGGAATTCAGTTTTTGCTATTTCACTTCAAAAGAAACAAGGGTATGGTTACACAGCCGTGAAAGCATTCTCTCCATCATTGGTTCGCACAACAGCACATGTGACGCAACTTGTAAACACAACCACAAACTACGCACTTCTGAAAGCTATGAGCAGAAAGAAGCCCAGAGGTTGTTCCTGGATGCAAACAGGCCCAGGGACATGCACATAGAGAGTGGGCTGGTGACAGGCTTGCTCTGCTGGCTTATTTCTGTCAGAAACATTATATTCTATTATATATATATATATAATTAGCCATATGGGGAAATTGGAAGGTTAAAAAAAGACAGTGGTTATATGAGGGTAAGCAAGGGAACTACCATTTCACCAGGGCCTGACATATGTAAGCAGTATGCAGAATGCCCGACACGCATACTTGCACACTCAGTACAGCATTTAAAAATAGGTCTCTGGGGCTGGAGAGATGGCTCGGAGGTTAAGAGCACTGACTGCTCTCCCAGAGGTCCTGAGTTCAGTTCCCAGCAACCACTCGGTGGCTCACAACCATCTGTAGTGAGATCTGGCGCCCTCTTCTGATCCACAGGCACACATGCTGGCAGAACACTGTATGCATAATAAAATAAATCTTAAAAGAAATATTAAAAGAAATAGGTCTCTGTCTTAGTTAGGTTTTTCTATTGCTATGGTGAAACACCATGACCAAAAAGCAAGTTGGAGAGGAAAGGGTTTATTTGGCTCACACTTCCAGATCGTAGTCCACCATTGGAGGAAGTCAGGACAGGAACTGGAGGCAGGAGCTGATGCAGAGGCCATGGAGGGGAGCTGCTTATTGGCTTGCTTCCCCTGCCTTGCCCAATCTGCTATCTTATAGAACCCAGGACCACAAGGGCAAGGATGGCACCACCCACCATGGGCTGGGCCTTCCTGCACTGATCACACTAATTGAGAAAATTTCTTACAACTGGATCTTATGGAGGCATTTCCTCAATGGAGGCTCCTTCCTCTACGATGACTCTAGCTTGTGTCAAGTTGACACACAAAACCAGCCAGTACAACTGACCCTTGCCAACTTGACACACAAACACATCACTATTAAGTCACAACCCTTCCTTTATTATTCATCCCCAAGATCTCACATTAAAATTATAAATAACTTTAAAATCCCACTGTCTTTACAATTCAAACACATTGAAATTTCAGTCTCTAGAATACCTTGTAGCAAACTTTCTTGAATATGGCATTTAAGATGTTTTAGTAGCATAAAGCTTTTCATAACAGTGAGATATGTCTGCTCCTGGCAGTACCAATCTACTTCAATATCCAATCTCTTTTAAAAGTTCAAGTCTTCAATCGGTGGGCTCCTTTACAAATCAAAATTAAAGACCTTCTTCAAGGGGGAAGAACCAGGGTACCGTCACAATCTAAACCAAGCAAAACCAAACTCCAACGGTATAAATAACTCAATGTTCAGTCATCTGGGATTCACTCACGGTCTTCTAGAACCTTCCAAAGGGCGTGGGTCACTTCTCTGGCTCTGTCCTCTGCAGTGCACAGAACTTGTCTTCTAGGATCTGGTTGGCTCCCCTCTACGGCTGCCAATGTTCTTGATGGTCATCCTATCATCCTGCATCATCAAGATGCTGGGGTCCTTTGCTGCAACTGGGCTGCACTTTCGCCAGTAGCCTCTCATAGGCTCCTTTTATGGTATCAAGCCTCAACTTCTTTGCATGACCCCTTCAGTCCTGGGCCTTCAACTGCCACTGAGGCTGCACCTTTAACAATGGTCTCTCCTGACCTCTCACAGTGCCAAGTCTCAGGTACTCTCCATGACCCCTTCATGCCTTCAGAACCAGTACCATTTGGGTGATGCTTACACATGACCAAGTCCTGCTGCTAAGGCAGGGTACAACCATGGCTGCCTCTGGAACACAGCTTCTCTGTGCTCTCAGGAAACACTTCCCAGAAGACTTCTCAGGATACTGTCAGTGTGTTAGTCGACTTCCTGTTTCCTGCAAGATGTAGCAGTCCCAGCTCCAGTACCACCTCTGCCTGCTTCCCGCCATGATGATAATTGACAGAACCTCTGAAACTATAAGTGAGCCCCCTTAATTAAATGTTTCCTTTGTAAGAGTTGCCATGGTCATGGTGTCTCTTCACAGCAATAAAAACCCTAACTAAGACATGTGTGTTTGTGGATATCCTGAGCATAACGAACCTCAAAGCCCGCCCCCACAGTGACACACTTCCTCTAACGCCATACCCACTTCCTCAAAGCCACACTGCCAAATAGTTATGGGGGCCAAATACATTCAAACTACCACAATACATAATTAAAAACAATTCTTTAGGGGCTGGAGAGATGGCACAGTGGTTAAGAGCACTGACTGCTCTTCCAAAGGACCTTGGTTTAATTCCCAGCAACCACATGGGAGCTCACAACTGTCTGTAACTCCAGTTCCAGGGGATCTGACACCCACGGCAAAACACCACTGTACATAAAATAAAATAAAAACAAATGAAAAACAATCTTTAAACAACAGATGTTCTTATTTCCCCCTTAGGGAAAAAGAAATGGATTGCTTGCATCCCTCTAGTAGTGGTAGATGTTTGATGCATGCCTATGTTCTCACCAACAATACCTAGAGATTTGAGCTGTGTGCTTTCCCAGCTCCAGGCTGGTTTATCCCAATCGTGTTTCCAACAGACCCATAAGCAGAGCTAAAAACAGAACAGGAAGGCCCAGGCCAGCCTTCCTCATTTAGAGCCTCATTATACCCTTCTCACTGTTGTAGCATCTCAAACGCTCAGCCTCAATCCTTTGTCTGCCAGAGCCTCCCTTCAGCCCAGTATAAGTGGGCTTTAAGGGCCAGTACACAGGTCCTCATGTTCAGTAGCTGGGAGCTGGTAGAAGTCCCCCATTCCACCTCCCAGAAGTGCCAAGATCATAGGGTAAAAGTTGGCTGGGATCACATGCCTGCGATGGAAAAGTTTCCAGAAAAAGTAATTTCTCCTTTTTAAATACTTTCTATTCTCGGGCCATCTTACCATAAAAGGAAGGGGTTCCCCTTTAGTAGATTCTACACACATGTCTGCTCCATTATCTCGTTCACCCTTCTAGAATGGTGAGACACATAAGCAGTGAGCAAGGCTCTTTAGGGGGTACCCAAGTGGGCACTATGCAGAGCATAGTCATTAATGCAAGCACCATGGCCTCTGCTCTGGTTCCACATGGAACCAGATGGATAGGATAATGGATAACTATATGTGTGTATATATATAATTAAATGGAGAGGATCATCTAAATGGTCCTGGTCGTGCACCCCTGTAATCCCAGCTAGTTGGGAAGCTGAAGCAAGGTGTTTAAGGTTTGCTGGAACTACAGAGTGAGTTCAAGCCCAGCCTGGGCAATACGGTGAAGCACAATCTAGGAATTAAAAGTAAGAAAAAAAATGCTGGGGGCGTAGAGAAGAATTCCATTACTTGGGGAAGTGGGGAGGGAGTCCCCTATTTTGAAGCACCTTCAGCCTTAGACTTTTAAATAGAAGAGGCTACTAGAGCCTGAATCTGTTTGAAACACATGTTTTGGATTATGAACTTAGGGTCCCACAGTGGTCACAAGAGCCTTTTAGATATTGAAAATCATTCAGATGAGTTTCCTTGAACATAAAAGGTTTGAGAAGGAGTGACTGACAATGTCATAGAACGAACCCCACCCCTGCTCCTGTGAATTTTCTTAAATCTTAAATTTAAGATCTTAAAATTTCTTTTTTTTTTCTCCTTTGTCTTTTCTTTTTCTTTTTAGTTTTTTGAGACAGGGTTTCTCTGTATAGCTTTGCGCCTTTCCTGGAACTCACTGTGTAGACCAGGCTGGCCTCGAACTCACAAAGATTCGCCTGACTCTGCCTCCTGAGTGCTGGGATTAAAGGTGTGAGCCACCACCACCTGGCTAGATCTTAAATTTAACAGTGACATGAGATTCTACTAAGGATTTTGAATACAAAAACTGCCAATGATGAATGTAAGGGGACCATCAAATGCATCTCAGTTAAGATGCTTAAATGTGGATGAAGGGTTTCTTACAACAAACAAAATGGAGGCACATAGGGAAAAAACCTTATATACTCCTGACACTGTTTTTGCCTCTTTTCAATGAACTCCCCTGCCTCCGCATCTCCAAGTCAGGGAGCCTTTCAGAGAGAGAGGCTCGTATTCTGAAATCTAGGCGGGCACAATGCTTAATAGACATGTTACTCACTTTAAAAATCTGTTCATACTAAGTTATCAGTTGGTAAGGTTATTCCCACTTGGCCTTTGCTGGGTAGGAGAGGTCATGATGGATGAGGTGTGGGAATTGGTTGAGGAGAGACCGCACCCCTCACGTCTTTATGGCTTGCATTTCCAGAGGAAAGACCGCATCCCTCACCTCTTTATGGCTTGCATTTCCAGAGGAAAGACCGCACCCCTCACCTCTTTATGGCTTGCATTTCCAGGGGAATGACCGCACCCCTCACCTTTTTATCGCTTGGACTTCCATGCTTGCTTTCTTGAGCTCTGTTGTCATTTGGAGTTTGTTGATTGTTTCTTGGGCTGCCCTGAGAAGGAACACGGATCTATTAGTTAGTTAGTTATTTTTCTGAGAAACTGAAGCAAGCAAGCAAAGACTTGGGGGCGGGGAGGGGATGGCTGGAGGGGAGACACTAACATTTTAAGAGCATCTACCGATCTCTGGTCATTTTCTCGAAGGAACTCTTCAAAGGATATTGCATCAGCTTGGAGCTTTTTCTCGGCTTTTCTGAGTTGATTTTCTTTCCCGGCTATGAGTTTTTCAAACTTTTGAATTGTGTTTTTCTTGGTTGAGACTGCATACTAGGAATATTGAAAACAAGAGTGGGTCAAGAACATTCCATGACAAGTTTCAACAGAATCTCCATAAAGTCTAGTGGGTCCTGCAGCAAGACGGCCACTTCTGGTAGAAGTAATAATACCATACACAGAGCTGGGTCTTTATCTCATGAAGGGAGATTGCTTTGGGGGCAGTCCGGAGGGAAGTTAAGCCTTCTCACTAGCTTTCATAAAGAGACTTTGTGTTCTAAAATGACTTTCCCTAGCAGTCAAAACATGAGCTATTTATTGTCAACTTGGAACAAGCTAGAGTTATCAGAGAGAAGGGAATTTCAATTGGAAAAAAAAAAGTGCTTCCCTAAGATTGGCTTGTGAGCAAGCCTTGAGGCATTTTCTTGATCAATAATTGATGTGGGAGGACCCAGCTGACTGTGGGTGGGCCCAGCTGGCATGAGTCCTGGATGGTATAAGAAAACGTGCTGAAGCAAGCCATGGCGAGCAAGCTAGGAAGAAGCATTCCTCCATGGTTTCTGCCTCAGTCCTTGCCTCTAAGTTCCTGCCTTGCTTGAGTTGCCACGCTAATTTCCCTCAGTCTCAGTGATGGACTATGACCTGGAAGAATAAGATGAGATGAACCCTTTCCTTTCTCCTGGTCGTGGTATTTTATCACAGCAATAGAAACCTAACCGAGACAGGGTGTATCACGGAAGACACCGCCGTGGAGAAACCAAGCTGGTGCTGACCTGAAAGGAGCTTCATCCCTACTAGATAACTTTCATAGCGCTGGAGAGTCCTGGGCATGCTAGTGGAGGAGAAAAGGAATCATTACTGTCACCCAGCTGTGATCTCTATGAGCTGCAGTAATGACTGGCCTGGCAAGATACGCTTACTGGTGCAGTAGTAGCATGGATATTATTGGAGTAACCAACCACTTTCTGATTGGACCTAAGGTCTCTTCCACTGGGTAGAACCCTTACCTATTCCTGTTTTGGTGGTCAAGAACCTGTGGCTAGATAGGCCCTAGGGGAGAACCTACTACTATTACTCTGCTAACTGGATATACTATTGAAACAACTCCTGTCTTAGTTAGTGTGTAGTTTGAATGTAATTGGCCCCCATAATCTCATAGGGAGTGGCACTATCAGGAGGAATAGCTTTGTTGGAAGTGGGTGTGGCCTTGGTGGAGGAAGTCTGTCACTGTGGGGGTGGGCTTTGTGGTCTTCTTCTCAAGCTTCACTCAGTGTGACAGTCAGTCAACTTCCTGTTACCTCTGAGTCAAGATGTAGGACTCTCAGCTCCAGCACCCCATCTGCCTGGATGCTACCATGTTCCCCTTCATGATCATAATGGACGGAACCTCTGAAACTGTAAGTGAGCCACCCTCAATTAAACGTTTCCTTTGTAAGAGTTGCCATGACCATGGTGTCTCTTCATAGCGATAAAAACATAACTAAGACAGTTAGGATTACTACTGTGGTGATGAAATACCATGACCAAAAGCATCTTGGGGAGAAAAGGGTTTATTTCAGTTACAATCCCGTATTACAGTTCATCATCAAAAGCAGGGAGGGCAGGAACTCAAGCAGGGCAGGAACCTGGAGGCAGGAGCTGATGCAGAGGCCATGGACGAGTGCTGCTTACTGGCTTGGCTTGCTTCCCCTTACTTGCTCAGCCTACTTTCTTATAAAACCCAGGACTAACTATCCCAAGGGTGGTCCCACCCAAGACAGGCTGGGCCTTCTCACATCAATCACTAATTAAGAAAATGCCGGGGTTGGGGATTTAGCTCAGTGGTAGACCCCGGGTTCGGTCCTCAGCTCTGAAAAAGAAAGAAAGAAAAAAAAATGCCCTACATTCTTACCTACAGTCAGATATTATGGAAGCATTTTTTTTTTCAACTGAGACTCCCTTCTCTCTGATGACTCCAGCATGTGTCAAGTTCACACAGAAGTAGCCAGCACAAGTCTTGAAGGCATATTGCTATGCCCAGAGATCAGTGCTTCTCTCAACTGTCACCAGAGAAGCTTCTTCTTGTAGCAGATGGTGATAAACACAACTGGTCAACAAGCTGAGAATAAGAGACTGTGGAGTGCTCAGCCCTGAATACAACATCTGGATGCCATCGATTTCCCCAAGGCTCAGGGATCATTGTAGAAGAGCCGAAGCATTGTAAGAGTTGGCGGTGTGGATGATGTCAAGAACACAGTGTTTTCTAGACACAACAGGAAAATTGCACATACAGAACTCCCAGCAACTATGACAGTATGCATAAGACCTTTGCAAACTCAAAACAAGAGTGTGGTGGAGGACTGGAGGTGGGCATGAACTCTCATCCCTAGCTGAGGAGCTATTGGTGTTTGATAACTGCTGGGAAAGGGAGAGTCATTTTTCTATAATGGTGTGACTCTTGGTACAGGGCAGGCCCCACATCCAAGGGTAGGACAACAGAAATCAGACTCAACAGTTTTTGTTTTGTTTTTTTTTTTTTTTTAAAGGGAAGAACATGAAAGTGGGTGGGTAAGGAGGTGAGGGCTGATCTGGAATGAGTTGGGGTGTGTGTGAAACTATCGAAATACATTGTATGAAATTCTCAAAGGATAATAAATAAGATTATTAAAAAGAATAAATTTCGGATATAGACAAATGTCCTTTCTACATTGGTTGAGATGATTATATGGCTTTTCATTCCTAATCTGTTGACGTGTATTGTACTTATCCATTTTCAAATGTTAAGCTGCCTTCATATGCTTAGGATAAGCCCTGATTAGCCATACGGATTATCCTTTCTGCATATTATTTGATTTGCTAAAATTGTTTAGAATGCTCGCCTCTAGCTTCTTCTTCTTTAAATATTTATTGTATTCAGTTAATTAGTTAGTTCGTATAGGTGCATGGGTCAGGGACACATGGAGGTCAGAGGACAACTTGTAGAGGTCAGTTCTCTCCTTTCGCCACGTGGGTCTCAGATAGTGAACTCAGGTCATCAGGCTCGGAACCATTACCTTTACCCACTAAGCCATCCTGTGGGCCCCAGCTTTCTTTTCTTCTAAAGCCCGTATCCTACTTAGAGATCAGGACAACGTTCTTGTCATATTGAGTGTTGGGAATGCTCCTTCTTCTTACTCAGTTTTATCTAACCGAGTATGTAAAATTAGAATGGTTTCCTCTTAAAATGTCTGGTACACTTAACCAGCCAATGTGGATTTTTCTTTCTTCTGCCTACAAGTTCAATTTTTAGAGTGATATAAAGCTGTTTATCTGCTTTCTTCTTGGGTAAGCTTTGTTAGTTTGTAACTTTCCAGAAATCTATCTATTCCATCCATGTCGAATTATTGTCATAAAATTTTTCATAGTATAAAATCACAACACACATTCACATTTTAAACGAGACTTTCATACCCTAAGTCTGCCACAAATAAAATTTTTAAAAAGGAAGGGGTCAGGGGTGGGCAGAGAAAAGAGGGTGAAAGAAACAAGGTAAGATGCTTTGAGACCAATTCAGTTTTTGGAAAAAAAGTTACTCATCCCCAATTCTGTGCTCACTACTGATACCAACAGGGGGTTTGAGGAGCCTCTCAAATAGCATCAGGTTTCGGGGAGATCTCACAAAACTCCTGGGTACAATTTCTTACAAGGGAAAGAAATATTAAAATCAACCAGAAGAACAGCCCCAGGAGGCAGGTTTAGAGCAGCTTCTCAACCTTCCTCATGCTGCGACCTTTAATACAGTTCCTCTTGTGGTGACCCCCAACCATAAAATTATTTTGTTGCTGCTTCATAATTGTCATTTTGCTATTGTTATGAATCGTAATGTAAACATCCAGTATGTGATCCCAGGGGTTGTGACCCACATGTTGAGAGCCAATGGCTTAGAGGCACTCCAGATGCAAAGCTTCTGGGACTTCCTCCCCCATGGAGTCTGCCTGTGGCTCCATTCCTGCATCTGTAACAATAAACATGGCTGCAGCCAACCAGCTTCTCAACTGAGCTTCACTGGCTGGAGTTTCCAGTGAAACTTCACTCCACAGACATGATTAATTGGCTGACAGTCCCCAGACCCTCTCGGTATGACCCCAAACCTCCACATCGTTGGTTTTTCTGACATGGCCGTCCTAAGACAGACAGATGTGTCTAGTCTCACCTTAACGACATCCTTACGAAGTGTGACGTAGGTCAAGGCCAGAGCTGGGCATTTTTTGGGCAAGGTCAATTTTTTTCCAGTTACCATTTCAGTGATAAATTGACTTTGTTATATCACTTGGGGCATGTTATCAACCAGCTTGGGAGATGGGGAAAAATACCAGAGCAGAGGACAAGGCACATTTACTACAAACCCAATGAACTCCCAGAGAAACTGCCAAGTGCCATCTCCAGGTACCTAGTCAAGACATTAGTTAGTTACATCAGCAACTAATGTCTTCGTGGGTTCACGACAAAGGCCAAAGCCACACCCGGGGAACCAATAGTCGCAAACAAAGTCACAGGGTCTCTTCACAGCTGTACGACGTGGTTGTTTATGTGAGCTCTGTTGATGGCAGCTGGCCTCGTGGGAAAGCGTTACCTGTGGCCTATCTTCCAAAATGCGCGCTGTGAAATTAGGAAAGATCAGATACGTTTTCCTTTCCTCATTAGCATTCGAGACCTTCACAGGAACAGACCATCTTTAAATGATTGGGACTTGACCACAGAGGTGTGAGCTACAGCTAGTTGGTTCTTGTATGTAATAATTTTCCCACTGTCATGTGCACAGTGCCTCTGCTCTATCTCTGGCAACACAACGTGCATACAAGGATAATAAATAACATGCGTCATATGGCCTGGGTTCTAGTTCAAGGTTTCTGATGGATAAAACCCTCCGTTATTTTATAAGATCTGGTTGGCTATGCTGTGTGCTTATTGCTACAGGTGCAGTTGGTACCACAGGTGGACTCCGCGGTCCTTCTAAACCCTGCCCTCATTAAGTATTAAAATCTGGCTCATTTTAATATTCCCTTTCCCTGTAACAAGCCATTTTGCTCTGGTATGAGTGGGTACAGAGAGAGCAGGAAGATTCCAGAATGTTCTGATTCCCACCATAGTCAACCAGAATGTCAGGAAAATCAAATGAGGCTTCTCAAGGGCTATTGAGGCTATTCTCAGAATGAGGGGAAAGAAATCATGGGGCCTCTAGAAATACAGACCACTTCCTGGGTTACTGGCGTAGACTGCTTAATTCTCCAAGGGGAAAGAATTTTGTAATGGCTCAGCACATAATAAGCATGCAGTAAATATTGTTCAAGTGAATAAACACAAGAACGAGCCACTCTGTTCAGCCAATAGATTTGGAGCATGTGATGGAAAAACACAATGCCAGGCTAAGTATCTTAACAATACTATGCAAGAAGTCTCCCGGCCAATGGGAGAAAGAAGTTACGTCTGTTACCTCAAGTAGAAATCTGTCTCTCTGGTCATTAATAAACTCGTGCACAGTCCTCTTTCTGTCCGCGCCTGGAGAGAACATTCAAACAGACATAGGTTTAGTTCGCCAGCTTTCACAGACGCTGCACGGAACAAGAGCTGGCCAAGTTCTCATATACGCTGTGTGTCCAGACTCGGCAAAGGAGCGGTGCCTTCCGGTGGTTACCCTGGCACTCAAAAGCTGCCACAACAGTAGCTGCACTTATTTTGTGTCTTCGAACATCCAGGAAGTCAGGCAGACTGCTCTAAAGCTTTTCTAAAATGTGGGATTTTTACGGATTCTCTGAGAATTTCCTACATGCAACTATTATATTTTGATCATAGTCACCGTCACACCTCCCCTCTAGGTTCTCCCAGGTCCACCCCCACCTCTCCACCCATCCCAACTTGGTGTACTCTTTAAAAAAAAAAAGTTTTTAAAAGCAACTCACTGAGTTCAATCTGTGCTGCGAATATAATGGTGGGTGTGGGCCCTCCGCTGGACACAGCCGATCCACTAGGGGCTTACAGAAAACCCACCCTCCCTGAGAAGTTACCAGCTGTGGACAGCTTCTCAGTCAGGGAAGCCTCCACCTCCAAGCTGGAATGTCGACAGGTTTGATCTTGTCATGGGTCCGGCATATCTAGAAGACCCTAGTTTTGCTCCTCTCTGATCTCTGCCTCTTACAATCTTTTTGCCCCACTTTCTGCAATGGTCTCCAAGCCTTTAAGGGAACCAAGTGTCATATACTGTTCCGTTTGTGTTTGTAGGCTGACCCAATCTCAATGTTTGACCAGTTTAAACATAATACTGGAGGCCTCAGGCCACATGTCTTTAGAGACCACAAATCAGGATGAAAAAGATGACAACCAGTTTTCCCCTTCAGAAAACGGGATAGGGATTCCAAGAACATTCAAGCTTTCTTCATTTTAGAAAATGCTACATGTCCACATTAGCTTTGTGTGAATCCAACAGAACGCGGAATAGAATAAAGTCTCTTGCTAACCACGGAAATAGAAAGCATTTGTGCTGCCCTGGGAGGCTATGTCTCTCCCCAAAGATGCACTGGTTTCCACCTCTAACTAGCTGGGAGAGATGAGTAAGTCCGCTTTCTCTCCATGCCTCAGTTTCCCGTCTGTGTGAAGATTGTTCTCCAACCCTCAGCTCACGGCTGTCACCATGATCTGGTCAGGAAACAGGCACGGAACTCCGTGGGTTCCAAGAAGAAGCTTCAAGAGTCCTTAGCTGCGGGCCCTGCAATGTCCTAGACAGGGACTGTTCCTTCAGCAGAGACAGCCAGGGAAAGAGACTGAGAATTAAACCTCCGGTACTGGAAGCCACTGAAATTTCAACGTGGCTCATTCTGAAAGGCGAAGGCAGCCTTATGCTTGTGGGAGCATCCCTCTGTTTCCCAGTGGTGACGGGAAAAGGAAGTGAGACTGTCGAATATAAAAGACACAGCAGTTGCTCAATAACTATTAGTTGCTGTTATTCAAACAACACACTTGGAATGAATCATTTCATTTGATGATCAATCACTCATAAAAGCGACAATAATTATTATAGTCATTAACCAATATTCCCTGGGCGGTAACTGAACGCGTCAGGCAGGCTTTGACTGGAATTCCGCATCTGCTTAGAGATTCGGGATGACCCAACCTCCTTGAGCCATTTTTATCCACAAAGAGGAGGCAAAGACATCTGGCAGCATTTTGTTGTAGGTCAAATATGGCCCGCCCGAGGAACGATCCATTAGAGGCAGCTCTCTTTTTAATACTTGAGGAGTTACACAAACCAGAAATCACCGACATAACAGTGCAGCCTTCCACATCATTGATACTTTATCTGCCTTGCCTGGTGATATCCCTCCTTAACTCCCCCCCCCCCACTAGAGTATTTTTGGGGAGGGAAATCTTGGACTATTTCATCCCTAAGAGCTTTAGTGTGTAACTTTACCAGAGAGTTTAAAAGTAATGCTCCTACCATCCTCACCCCCAACAGACTGATAATTTCACAACACCAACTCATAGCCAGCCTGGGTTGTATTTTCCCAGTTGTCTTAAAAAAAAAAAAAAACAAGAAAAACCGCTGATCTTAAAAATGATATTCTAAACTCAGATCAGCTTGGCTGTGTGACTCCTTCTAGAGGTTCATCTTTTCATATCCCAGCCACCCCCAAGTTTCTTCCACTATGTGTCCCCCAACCCCCACCGTTTATCTGTTCAGGAAGCCATGTAGAATTTCCCACACACAGGGTCTGGCACATGTTTTTGTTTTTGTTTTTGTTTTTTTTTTGGTTTTTCGAGACAGGGTTTCTCTGTGTAGCTTTGCGCCTTTCCTGGAACTCACTCTGTAGCCCAGGCTGGCCTCGAACTCACAGAGATCCGCCTGCCTCTGCCTCCCAAGTGCTGGGATTAAAGGCGTGCGCCACCGCTGCCCGGCTTTTTTTTTTTTTTTTTTTTGGTTTTTCGAGACAGGGTTTCTCTGTGTAGCTTTGCGCCTGTCCTGGAACTCACTTGGTAGCCCAGGCTGGCCTCGAACTCACAGAGATCCGCCTGGCTCTGCCTCCCGAGTGCTGGGATTAAAGGCGTGCGCCACCACCGCCCGGCTTTTTTTTTTTTTTTAAAAAAGATTTATTTATTTATTATGCATACAGTGTTCTGCCTGCATGCCAGAGGAGGGCACCAGATCTCATTACCGATGGTTGTGAGTCACCATGTGGTTGCTGGGAATTGAACTCAGGACCTCTGGAAGAGCAGCCAGTGCTCTTCACCGCTGAGCCATCTCTCCCGCCCATGACGTCTTGATAGAGATGTTTCACACGGCCCTCAATCCCTCGTCTTAACTTGATTAGATTCTCGTTCAATTTATTCTCTCTCTCTTGTGTGTGTGCGCGCGCATGTGCACGTGTGCATGCTCACACATGCATGTGTGGTGTATGGGGGGGGGGCGGGATGTGCATGGCTCCAGAGGAGGCCACTGGGTGCCCTGTCCTAGTGTTCTTTGCCTCATTCCCTTGAGACAAGTCCTCCCTCTGAACCTGAAGTTGGCTAATGGCCGACAAGCCCCGGTCATCTTCCTGTCCCCCTCCCCACCCCACACGCCCAGCGCTGCCGTTACATACTCGGGTCTGACCATGCCCAGATATTTCTGTGGGTGCTGGGGACTTGAACTCAGGTGTTCATGCTTGTGAGTCATTTCTCCAATGCCACGCTAAAGTGAGCCTTTACCCCAACCCTCCTCCCATATTTTTAATAGGAAAGAATGTCGTTGCTAAGAGAAGCTTTCATTTGCTCGCCTAAGTAGGACCAACCCAGCTGAAAACAAATTTCAATGTCCGTAACCTATTCTGCACTGCCAGTGTTTTAAATATTAATGCAGACGACTTAACGTGGTACTGGCTGGCTGAACTGATGGGATTTGATCCTCCTACTGGAATAAGACTCATTGTCCCGGTGACTCTTCTAGCTATCAGAAAGGTATTTCAGCATGAGACTGAAGCCCCTTCCAAAACACCTCCATCCCGCACGGGTGTTTTGAAGCACAGTAAGAGATATCTGGGCAGACGGAGCCTGCCTCAGAGCCCACACAGAGGTGTGGATGTGTTTTTTGCTTGTTTGTTTTTTTTTTGATAGGGTCTCACGTAACTCCTGCTGACCTCGAACTTGCTCTAGGGCAGAGCATGACCCCAAACTCTGATTCTCCTGCCCTGACTTTCGGAGTTCTGGCATTATAGGAGTGCACCACCACATCTGGTTTCCAGGTGTTGCCTTTAAAGGCAAAGGCGAAGTCTGACTGTTACTGTGTAGAGAATGAACAGGTGTAAGGAAACCAGCCTGCCTGTGGCATTTAGGTATCCAAATATTTCCTAGCCATTCACCACTAGTGCTAACACAGAAATACCAGAATCCAGGCTCCCCAACTGGGGCCACTGGCTTATTCTGCTCCCACATAGTTTTTTTTTTTTTTAATCAGAATTCATGCAAGGACCCTAAAGCTGAGGAAAAATGACTTCACTCAAATCAGTTCCTGGTTGGAGCTACAACAGAGAAATGTCTTTAAGTGAAAATTCCATATTGCTTGTCTGCAATCAGCCACATTGTTGACAGAACCTCAGGTGATGTGTGGGCTCTTTCCTCTTGAGGAGCCTGTCCTCTGTGAGGGGGCACTGGTCCACTCAAGCATGTGGCTCTGGCAGGCCTTGCCCTTCTCCCTGCTTCCCTCTGCCTTCCTAAAAACCATTAGATTACATTCCTAAAGCTAGCTACCAAGGTCCAGTCCCTTATTTGGCCACTTCCTCCTCCTGAGGCTGACTTCCAAGGTCCAGCTACTGAAGTTCTGAAGTCCAGCCATCAGAAGCCCCCTTTGGCTGTCCTAATTAACATGCCTGATTAAAATTAATCACCTCCTCCCAACACGGGGTTCCCCCTTCACCTTTATAAACCGCCATTTTCCTATGGCCCACGTCTGTCTCCTCTCCATCCAGAAGCAGTCTTTGTCCTTCCGGGACAAATATCCCTGTGCCCCCTCTCCCTCGTCCTTGATCTCCTCTACCACCGCATCGTAGCCCATTCCACCACAGACCTCCCCTTTTCCTCCTCTTAAAAATAACTTGATATGCCATGTTTTATTGATACTCATGGGAGACCTGCCCTTTCCTGGATGGAGATGGAAGAGGAGAGGGTTGGGGGTGGGGGCAAGAGAGGAAATGGGGCGGGGGACTGGGAGGGAAGGGGGGAAGGCTTCAGCCAGGATTTATAAAATAAATAGATGAATTTAAAAAATTACATCTGTGTAGCTAGAGTTTTTCGGCCTGGCCCACAGTCAGGACAATCTCTCTCACCCGCCAGTCCCACAGCTGCTCAGATCTAACCAAGTAAACACAGAGACTTATATTGCTTACAAACTGTTTGGCTGTGGCAGGCTTCTTGTTATCTAGTTCTTTTATCTTCAAGTAACCCATTTCTATAAATCTATACCTTGCCACGTGGCTCATGGCTTACCGGTGTCTTCACATCCTGCTTGTCATGGCAGCGGCTGGCAGTGTCTCCTTCCACCTTGCTGTTCTCTCAAGTCTCCTCTCTGTTAGTCCCGCCTATACTTCCTGCCTGGCCACTGGCCAATCAGTGTTTTATTTATTGACCAATCAGAGCATTTGACATACAGACCATCCCATAGCACATCTGCAAGATCATTTGCTGCTGTTTTCTGCCTGAGTCAGAAAGCAACCTCTTTAACTTTTCTGCTTTATAAAGGATCTCTCTGTGAAAACAGATGTTTGGGTGTGTTTTGTGCCTAACCCAGGGTCCCAAAGGGAGCCCCTGGTGTGTGTGTGTAGGGGGGGGGGGTCTTCTTCACGATGACATTCACTCTTTTTTTTTTTTTTTTTTTTTTTTTTTTTGGTTTTTCGAGACAGGGTTTCTCTGTGTAGCTTTGCGCCTTTCCTGGAACTCACTTGGTAGCCCAGGCTGGCCTCGAACTCACAGAGATCCGCCTGGCTCTGCCTCCCGAGTGCTGGGATTAAAGGCGTGCGCCACCACCGCCCGGCCGACATTCACTCTTAAGAGGCCAGAACCATCCCATTCCACATCAATGACACAGAGCAGGACTGACAACCTGTAAAGTTTTCTAGTTATCTGAGGACTGTTGGGGCAGCAATGTGTGGTCGTTTGAATGTAATTGGCCTCCATAATCTCATAGGGAGTGGCACTATTGGGAGGTGTGGCTTTGTTGGAGTGGGTGTGGCCTTGCTGGAGGAAGTATGTCACTGTGGGGCCGGCTTTGAGGCTTCCTATGCTCAGGACACTGCCCAGTGTCATAGTTGACTTCCTGTGGCCTGCAAGATGGAGGACTCTCAGCTACTCCAACACCACGTCTGGCTGCTCCCCATCATGGTGATAATGGACTGAACCTCTGAAACAGCAAGCGAGCTACCCCAATTCAATGCTTTTCTTTATAAGAGTTGCCTTGGTGGTCATGGTGTCTCTTCACAGCAATAAAACCCTGACTAAGACGTAAGGATTGTTGCAGTCAGCTCATTTGCACAGAACTGTAGACATGTCACTTGTCACTTTAGATGTTCTTGATGGCCCAAGACGCCAACACAGAGGCACAAGATGGAACCCAGGTGTCTCTTAGACCTGATGCTATAGCCGCACCCTAACTATTACCTGCCATTTCCTGTTGTTCAGTCACACATACATCTGCAAGACGGTCTAAATCAATTAATGTGGCTTGCTTCTTCTTTTATAAAGATGGATTTGGGGCCTGGAAACTTAACTCAGGGACTAAGAGCACTTGATGCTTTTGCAGGGGATCCAGGTTCGATTCCCAACACCCTCACAATTGGCTGTTAACCCTGGTCCCAGTGGCTCTGACACCCTCTTACGTACATACAGGCAAAACACTCATACACACAAAATAATAAAATAAATAAACCTCAGTTTTTTAGAAAGATTTATTTATTTTTATTTTATATGTAAAGTGCTTTCCCCCTGCATGTAGGTCTGCACACCACATACTTGCCTGGTTCCTGAAGCAGCCAGAAGAGGGTGCCTGATCCCCTGGAACTGGAGTTACAGGCAGTTGTGAGCCTCCACTTGGGTGCTAGGAACAGACTCTGGAAGTCCTTCTGCTGAGCTATCTAGACAGCCCCTCTTTTTCCTAAGATATGTTTGTTTATTTTTATGTGTATGAATGTTTTGCCTGCATTCATATAAACGCACGACATGCTTGCTTGGTACCAGAGGGGGTCAGAAGAGGGCATTACATCCGTTCAAACTGGAGTTACAGCTGGTGGTGAGCCACGATGAGGATGCTGGCAACGGAACCCCAGTCCTCTGAAATAGCCACAAGTGCTCCTGACTGCTAAGCCATCTCTCCAGCCTCGTGGCTTGCTTTCTCTACAGGAGTCGAGGAACTCAACATCCCTGTCCTTGCTGGCCACCCTGACCTTATGAGCCGCAAAGTGCTCCATTTGCAGATGCTTAGGAACATGTCTGATCACCGGGTCTGTCTTCGCAATGACAGACAAGCTTATTTCACCATATCAGCTTTCCTGCTGCTGCATGTCTGAGTCATGTGTTTTGAACCAGCAAAGCTCCCCCATCCTTAGGAAGCGTCTGGATTTCTACACCTCAAATGGCTAGAGCTGCTGCTTTGATAGCACCCACCTTCGCCAACGCCAACACTGTTATTTTGACAATGACTTCCTTGGTTCTCAAAAGCAGGAGAAGAAGTAATGATCTTGGGGAAAGTGTCTTCTTATTTAAGCTGCTCTCTTCTGGCTCTCAAGCCTGTTGCAAAGCTCTTACCCTCCATATTGCAACAGGCCCCAGAACCTTGCATCAGTGACGCCATGTGAGAGGTACCATTCTGACCTGAAAACCCAGCACGCAGGCCCCAACCCCTGACAAAATGGGAACAGGGACCTAGTCCACGGTTCTAGAAAAGTCCACAGATAGGAAGTCCCTAAATGTACTAACCTTGCATTTCGGCTTCTGTACTTCCGCTTCTTGCTAACGGAAGTGTGCCAACCAGGTTGTGGTTTTTTTTGTACATACAAGACCAAGGGCTGTGAGTCTTGGGGCTGCATGGTTTGGGTAAGTCCCCCATGCAGCTGCTGGCCAGCAATAAAGACTTTCTTTTTGGGTTTAAGAATGTCTGTGTTGGCTGGTCAGTGGTAGTGCATGCCTTTAGTCCCAGCAGAGGCAGGTGGATCTCTGAGTTTGAGGCCAGCCTGGTCGATAGAGTGAGTTTCAGGACAGCCAGGGCTACACAAAGGAACCCTGTCTCAACCCCCTCTCCCCTCAAAAGAGTGTCTGTGTTGTGGTCTCTGGCTGTCTTATCTTGAAATAACATAGCAGCATAGATTCTGTCTCTCTCATGGCCAGAACATCTCCCAAACCCATGACGAATAGCAAAGATCAGAAACAAAATTTTAACACTAAGAGTAACGTTGACTTACCTTCTGTCAGTCTCAGAATAAGAGTGGGATCCAGCCCCAGACTTTCGTAGGAACCGCCACCTGCTTCAGCATAAAAAGTCAGCTGGCCGAGGTGTGAGCGACTCTTCATCCGAGATGAAAACGTAGTCTTTTGGTAGATTTTCATGCTGCGGCTCATGAGTCTTTCCTGCCCAAGGGGCAAAAGCGCAAAAGGAATTTTGATACACCCAAGTACTATATTGTCATAATAGTGATCGATCGTATGTATACAGCAAAGACCTTTGGCCTTAGGCAGCTTGGGAGCTCACCCTGGAAGCAGTGTGCACAGCATCCCTTTCCTTTGTTGTAGGGAGACAAGGAAGGGCATGTTTTAAAGGTTGATCCTTTAATAAACTATCTCAGAGACAGGAAAATATCTTTCCAGATTAAATGTAAGGGAAAACAGGGAAACCCCGAAGGTTGGTTTGCTGGGACTGAACTTAAGAGGGGATGGACCTCCACGGAAGGTAGTGCAAACCCACCCTTCGGATTTCTTTCAACGTCTCTCAGTTTAATATTAAATTATGCTCAACAAAGGCACATATCGCCTGGAGAAAAGCCACCCCCAGATGAATACACTGCAGTGTTTCTAGATATTTCATTCATTATACCTAGGGCTAGAAGAGTCATTTCATCCGTCACCTTTGGGAAGAAAAGTTGAATCTCAGGCTCGCTACTGATTTAACTCTATACCAGATTACTCTAAAAATAATCCTCCTGGCCTCTCCCCCCCGTCTCTCTTCTCTCTCCCCAGAGCACATATAGACTTGTCTACCCATCACAGCTTTGGCATTATTCTTAAGGACTCAACTCCTGTCACCACGGTGAATTCTCCATCTCTCCCAGCTTTCATCCTTTCTTTTCCCACCAACAGGGCTGACCGCTCTGTCTCCTTTGCACGTCTCTGATTCTATGACCTGTCTGTCAGTTCTAAGGTGTTACCTGTTCCCACTTTTATTTTGTGCTTGGCCAATGATGCAGGACGTCATCTGTGCAAGGCAGTCCCGATTTCAGAAATGTAGCACTATGAAAACTGTGGGTGTCTGACGGGTCAAGTAGGGTGGACCATGCCTGTTACACGCTGGAATGGGTAATGGCGTAGCTGCCTTCCCCCACTAGGTGGCGATCTCTGAAGGTCCCTGTCCTCTGTGCACAATCTTGCTGCCGACCACAGGCTGGGTGTGTCAGCATCCCGCATCATGTCCTTTTGTTTGTTTTTAGAGATAGGATTTCTCTGTGTGACCGTCCTGGCTGTCCTGGAACTCACTCTGTAGACCAGGCTGGCCTCAAACTCACAGAGCTCCTCCTGCCTTTGCCTCTGCCTCCCGAATGCTGGGAGTAAAGACAGGCACCACCCAGCCCGGCGCTGACACCATATCTTAACCCATAAAAACTGGTAAGAACTATGGCAAAAAGCACATGATTCTGGGTTGGGGATTTAGCTCAGTGGTAGAGCGCTTTCGTAGCAAGCACAAGGCCCTGGGTTCTATCCTCAGCTCAAAAAAGAAAAAAAAAATCACATGATTCGAACCTTCTTGGGACTTCGATATTAATAAAAACCTTACCTTTTTCTTTGCAGCCATTTCATTTTCTTTGAATAGGAAGAGATCTTTGAAAAAGATCTTGTAAGGTCGTTCCTTTTTGATTGCGTCATCTTGGATTCTATCTGAAAGGAGAGAAAGAAATGAAAGAAAGGAGTGGGGGGGTAGGAAGGAGCTGTTAGTCCATCTAATGAGGAACTAGGCTAATTAAGTCTCCCACCAGCTGGAGTAGAGAAATGTGATGCAGGGGTCTTTGAGAAGGTGGGGTGCAGACACAGCTTGCCTCCTGTTGAAACTGGAGATATAGGTCCTGTGTCTCCTGGGTAAGAGCCCACCGTCTATGGCACAAGCTCAGGGCTCAGCACCCCAGGAGACCTGGACCACAGTTAAGGAGTCTTTAGTAGAACGAGATCACACTTGAAGATGTGGAGATGACTGGGTCAGTCAACCACCAGCAGGGATGTGATGTGGTGTGGCCACTTTGGAACACATCTGCCAGCTCCTTGGAAAGCTGAGCATTGAGTTACCGTATGATCGATCCATTGAAGGCGGAGTGCAATGTGGCTGGCCCATGAGAAGAGGTGTCAACCAGGGACACATCTGGTGAAAGCAGGGGAAGTTGTGGTTGATTCCTTGGGGCCCTGCGGGGCTCAGGATGTCAAGAAAGCAGGTGATATTGTAGGTCTCATAAGGTGGCGAGGACTGGATCTGGGGAGAGCAGCAATGTGGGAAAGCCTGGGCCACAGGCGAGGGCTCAGTAGAGGAAGGCAGTGGCGCAGGGCTGGAAGGCATGGTGGTTAAGTCCATGTGTTAACTTGCCTGGTCTGTGCTTTGCCCCGATGAAACGTATTTTTTTTGGGGGGGGGGGGGTTGTGAGAGGTTTTCCAGGCGACTTTAGCATTCAGATTGGTAAGGTCGGAAAAGAAGGCTGCCCCCTCCAATATGCATGGGCATCAACCAATCCACAGAGGGCCCGAGGAGGACAATGGCTGAGGAGGGAGAAATAGCCATCCCTCCACCCCCCCCCCCCCCACCTCTCTCTCTCTCTCTCTCCCATGCTCAACAGACTGGGCTGGCTGATACTGTCAGCTCACCTGGGCTCACCTGGGCTCAGGCCTTTGCACTGGACTGGCCTCTAACACCAGCTTTCCTGGGTCTCCGGCTTGTGGTGCTCTCCACAGTCACGTGAGGCCCTTGCTCACAGTAAATTGCCTTCCCACTGGCTCTGTATTCTGGATCTGAGAACATGACCTTGCCTGAGCCCATCCTGTGTCCCTTGTCCACAGAACAAGGATGGATGCCAGATATCCAATGGGGCCACTGATAGTCTCAGAGGGAAGTAACTGGCAGGCTGGACACAGCCTACTCATGCTCTGTTCCATCTAGTCTCCTATAAGGACACTAGTTGCATTTGCTTGGGGTGGGGGTTGTTTTGAGTTTTGAGTCAGAGTCTCACTATGTAGCCCTTGGCCGTCCCAGAACGCACTCTAGACCAGGCTAAGTCTCGAACTCAGAGAGATCCGCCCGCCTCTGCTCCCAAGGGCAGGGATTAAAGGAGTGTGCCACCACAAACAGCATTTGAGATGGACCATCAATCCATGGTCCTTTCTTTTATTTCTTTTTCTTTTCCTTTCTTTTTCTTTTTGAAAATATGTTCCTATTTTCAGGTTCTGGGTAGATTGATCTGGGGGGGGGGCAAAGTTAATATTGCACCCCGAATAACACCTTATACCCACAGTGTATACTAGAATCCATCCCAGCCTCCTGCCTGATCCTTCTGCCGGCTGTGGAGCAACATGAACCTTGGGCACAAGATCTACAGCTTGCCACTCAGGCATCTGAGTCATTTAGCTGGACCCAAGCTCAGCTGTATTTCCTCCTGGGCTGCTTGGCTGTCAGTGTCCTGTGGAGGCTGTGACAGTACTGCAAACCTCCTTGGCTGGAAATTCTAGAGATGGGGAGTCTAAAATGAGTATCCTAACAATGCGCTAAAAAGGGGTGTTTCTTGGCAGGCTCTAGGTAGAAACGGTTTGTTTCTTCTGCGGTTAGAGTGTGCCTAAGTGCCTTGGCTTGCAGTCCATTCATCCTCAGTTTCCACCATCACACTGCCTTCCCTGTCTAAGACATACCTGTCTCCCTCTTGTGGGTTATCCCAGGCCCATTAGATAATCCGGAATATTCTTTCCATGTCAAGCTCCTAAACTTAATCATTTTTTTTGTTGTTTGTTTGTTTTTCGAGACAGGGTTTCTCTGGTGCCTGTCCTGGATCTCACTCTGTAGACCAGGCTGGCCTCGAACTCACAGAGATCCGCCTGCCTCTGCCTCCCGAGTGCTGGGGTTAAAGGCGTGCACCACCACTGCCCAGCACTTAATCACATTTCAAAGACATATTTTTAATCAAGTAAAGAAACTGCTGTGGGATGTACTGTATGGCAAATGTGTTGCTCTGATTGGTTAATAAATAAAACACTGATTGGCCAGTAGTTAGGAGGAGGAAGAATAGGCAGGACAAGGAGGAGAATAGAGCTGGGAAGTGGAAGGCTGAGTCAGAGAGACACTGCCAGCCGCCACGATGACAAACAGCATGTGAAGATGCCGGTAAGCCACGAGTCACGTGACAAGGTATAGATTTATAGAAATGGATTAATTTAAGCTGTAAGAACAGTTAGCAAGAAGCCTGCCATGGCCATACAGTTTGTAACCAATATAAGTCTCTGTGTTTACTTGGTCGGGTCTGACAGCTGTGGGACTGGCAGGTGAGAGAGATTTGTCCTGACTGTGGGCCAGGCAGGAAAACTCTAGCTACAAGTAACATATTCACAGGTTCCAAGGAATATAACGTACGTATTTTGGGGGACTACTAGTTTTTCTATGACACACAGACTCATTCCCTTCTTGGCTTTGTCCCTTTCTATCTATCTGGTTCTAGTCATTCATTCATTCACTCATTCATTCTTTCACTCAACAAATATCAAAGAAGAGTCTCTGTTCTGCACCATGAAATACACACTAGTGAACAAAACGAAGGTTTCCGCCCTTACACTGAGTTGAAGTGGTAGACGTGGGGGAGGGGTAACAGGTGATAAAAGTCAACATAACAAGTAAGTGATTTTATGATACAAGTGACAAGGTCCGAGGTGAGCACCTTTGAGTGGAGGGATGGATCTATGGAAGAACAGTCTTGTACTAGCAAGTGCAAAGGCCCTTGAGGTAGGGAGAGAGGAGGCCATGGCGGTGGGGGCGTGCAGGAGGGAGAAGCAGAGGGTCAGTCAGTGTCTTGCATGCCTCAACTCTCAGTAAGATGGCTGGCTAGTGGAATTTGGACAGAGGGCTGACGTGGTTTCAGGTCTTTGCTGGTGAATGAGAAGCAACCAGGAGAATTATAGTTGAAACCACTAACTGGTTCCAAGACAGTGTGGGCAGAGCTGGGGAGAAGTGGCTGGGCTCTGGGCATGTTTTGAAGGGAGAGCCAACAGAACTTCAAAATGGAGTGTTTATGGGACATTTCCCAGAAGCACCCACGCTCCCTCCTTTCCTCACCTCCCTGCCTCTGTCTCTCCTTTTCTTCTCCGGGTCTGAGATAATAGAGTCGCATTGAAGTGGTTGGTTTCTGATTCCACCACTGTAGTCAAGCTTGTTAATTCGAATGAATTCCAGTGAAGAGCATGCCTAGAGAGTGCCCACGACCCGTGCTAGGTGTTAAATCTTTGTCAGATTTGAAAGTGAAAATCAAGCGATTCCTTGCGTCAGGGCACGGGAACTCCCTGTCCATCATGAAGTGGGAGGATGAGGGGAGAGGATGGCGGAGGAAAGAAGGCGGATACCCGCAAAGCTCAGTATCTCCCATCCTGTCCTTCCTCATGACAGTAACAGGGTTAACTGTTCTAGCCACAAATGCTGAATCAGTTCAGCTAACCGTGACAAGTTAATGCACTCAGACTAACCAAAACTTCTCAGCATGGCTTACAAGTCCTTTTTTCTTATGCTGGCATGTGGCCTCTAGTCACCACAGAGCCTAATCACTCCAGATTATATAGAGCAAGAACACACTGATTGATTTTTATCTCCCGAATTCACTGATGTTTGCAAAAACTGGGGTGTCATTTTGTCTCCTGGTCCTGTCCAAAGAAAATGAAACACACCTTTTAAAAATCCTGTAGATGCACAGGGCGGTGGAGGCGCTCGCCTTTAATCCCAGTGCTCAGGAGGCAGAGCCAGGTGGATCTCTGTGAGTTCAAGGCCAGCCTGGTCTATAGAGTGAGATCCAGGACAGGTACCAAAACTACAGAGAGAAATCCTGTCTTGAAACAACAACAACAACAACAAAACCTGTAGACACAAGCTAATATGCTCAACATAAAATATATACCCATAATAAAATCGTAAATAGTCTCTGTATAGGGACTGGAGCCATGACTCATCCACTTGAGAGCTTGAACTGCTCTTTCAGAGGAATTGAGTTGGGATCCCAGTATCCATGTTGGGTGGCTAACAACTGCCTTTAACTCCAGTGCCCTTTTCTCGCCTCTTTAGACACCTTTACTCACATGCACGGACAAACATACACACACACACACACGCGAGCACATACACACACACATATACACATAATTAAGAACAAAACAAATATTGCGACATTTCAGTTGTGAGCCTACCCTTTATTGACTGATCCATCTCTCCAACCTGAAAAACAAAATAAATTATTTTTTTAAAAAAAACTTGTATATATTGCATAAACATGGCTAAATCCAGCTATCAGTGGCTTCCTGGCTTTTAAATCCATGACCACACAAACTCCTGCACCCAGCAATTCTAATTCCAGGAACTTACACCCCAGAAAATAACCAACCCCGAAAGCAAAAAAAACGTATGTGCTATTGTGTTCGTGGAGTGCCATTTAATAACTTGGGAGCTGACTGAGTAGCTGTGGCACACCATAACCTAAACTGCCCCGTGATCTTTAGCATGATGCTGGGGTCACTCTTTACCTGGTGTCCATTTATTGTAAGTCCAAAAAAAAAAAAAAAAATAGGGCCAATGAGATGACTCAGAAGATAAAGATGTTTTCCAGCAAGCCTCAGGACCAGAGTTGGAATCCCAGGGACTCTACATGACAGGAGAGAGCTGATTCCCACAGGTTGTCCTCTGACCTCCACACACGCAAAACCAACCAATCAGTCAATCAATCAATCAATGAATCAATAAATCAATCAGTCAATATACTTCCAAAGTGAAGGGATGGTGTACCGACTTTATGTGGTGACCCACAGAGGCTATCTAGCGAGACTTTACTCAGGATCAGAGAATCTGAGCTTGCTTTATCCAGCAGGGCTGCATAAGGAGATGATTTGGCCACCGGCGTGGTTACCAAGTGTTTGGAAGAGTCTACACTTGGCTGTACGGTATGCTTTGATCTTACAAGGGGGAGGTCTTTTGCCGCTCCCCTTGGCATATTATAAAAAGCCCTTTTGAATAAATCTCTGGGGCTGGAGAGATGGCTCAGTGGTTAAGAGCACTGGCTGTTCTTCCAGAGGTCTCAGCTGAGTTCAATTCCCAGCAACCACATGGTGGCTCACAACCATCTATAATGGGATGTGATGCCTTCTGGTGGCATGTAGGCATATATGCAGACAGAGCACTCACATCTAAAAAAAAAATACATGAATACATCTCTGGGCGACTGGGTATTGACCCAGGGCCCTCCCAAAGGTCCTGTGTCTCTTTCTCATCCTCTCTTTCTATCTTTCTACCTGAGGTTTCCTCATTCCTCTCTCCTCCACCCAAGAACCCTTCGTTAAGGTGGGAGCAGGTCGGAGCTGGTCTCCCACGGTCCCCCACAACTTTACTCGGTAGGCCACCGACTTCCAAACCAAAATGCCTAGAAGGGATCTAGGACCCCTTCCGGATCTTCACCCCTTCAGGGTGACAGGCTTCCTTCCGGTTTGCCTGCCCAGCCACTGAAGTGCCAGGCGACTCCGGCCCATTGAGGGGCAGGGACAATCCCTGCCCCTTGGGGCTCCTTTGTTTGGGAGATGGCCTGCACAGGGATGCCCCACCCCGCCCCACCCCCACTGTTTTGGCCCCGCCATGATCTCCGGTCTCCACCTAAGGCTTGTGAATGGATGCTTCCGGGTCTAAGTCCTATCCCCAATCACTTCGAAATTTGTCCAAATGAGCTCCCTCATCCAGGTTTATGAGCATTGCATTCCCGTCCCCTTCCTTGCTTCTGCCTGCTGGCATCTCATGCTCTCGCTCAGCAGCTCCCCCAACTTCTCCCACCTGCTGCTTCTGTCTCTGTTCCCTCCCTCCCTCCCTCCCTCCTGCTGCTGATACCAAAGCTGTGTCAATCTCCCACCAGCTTAGGGTGTCTACAAGCAGGACCCTCCCTCTGTCCCGGAGCGTCTACACCCACCCCCACCCCGCCCCGTGAAAATTTTTTCCGTCCTTCTGTTAGAAAGTCCTGCCTACTTTGTGTGTATGGATGGAAATGTGGCCACGGGATGCTTGTTTTTTGACTGGCTTCGAGTGCCTGAGAGGACGTGTTCCATGTGTCTTGGTAACAGCTCAGATATGCTCACAACCAGCGGCTTGGGCTCAGATTTTTGTAATGACGGAAAAAAGTTATTTTATGCTGTTCTACCTTATTATAAAGAAAAACAGGGAGGAAAATGGGTATGGTTAAAAATCTGTAACAAAAGTTAGCTTAAAACTGGTAACACCATTGAGAACAACCGTGTGGGCAGTCATCATTTGGGCTAGGGACAGGGATGAGGGACTTTACCATATGACTTTACCACCATCTTAGATAGAGGTGACCGGGTGGAAATGGGTCCATCAGGAGATATTAGGTCTCCACGTTGTTTTGGATTAGGATAGATTTCTGTATGATAATTCCTGTCCTGTCCTAAAACAAGGTTTATAAAAGGTAGGATGTAAAACAATGCCGGTTTGCTGAGGGATTAAAGCTGTGCCTCCATGCATTCATGTACAGGGATGTATCTTGCTGACAGCAAGATATTGATTAAAAAAACAAAACAAAACACTGAATTGTTTGCAAATGTTAAAACTTGGTTTTGCCTTACTATATCTTAGGACCACAGCTGAAAACCAGAGACTGAAATATCCCTTCTAATCTTTTATTTTTTCCAGAGCTGAGGACCGAATCCAGGGCCTTGCTCTTGCTAGGCAAGCACTCTACCACTGAGCTAAATCCCCAACCATCTAATCTTCTTGCTTTTACTAACATTGGTAAGCTGTAACTGATTGGGCAAACTGTATGTCCATATTTAACTTGTATATGCTCTCAAAGTTAAGCCTAAACAACATTTATCTAATTCAGATATACCTAACAGATAATTATACCCTGATCCTCAAGCACTTCAGAGACCTGAGAATATGACATTTTAATAAAACGTTCCTCGGGCTGGAGGGATGGCCCAGAGGTGAAGAGCACTGGTTGCTCTTCCAGAGGTCCTGAGTTCAATTCCCAGCGCCCACATGGTGGCTCACAACCATCTGTAGTGAGATCTGGCGCCCTCTTCCTGCAGGCATACATGCAGGCAGAACACTGTATACATAATAAATAAATAAATCTTAAAAAAAAAAATAAATAAAACGTTCCTCACGACTGAGATGCACCAGCTTCTGGCAGCATCCTGTACCTCCTCCAAGGCCACAGAAGAACTTCCACCTGGAAGCTTGCTTTAAATGTGGCAAAGCCAGCCACGCGAAGCAAGAAAAAAAAAAAACTGCTTTGCACTTTAAACCACTGCCAAGACCCTGCCCAGACTGGACAACAGGACACTGGGGGTTCGATTGCCCCACTTTGCCAAGACAAGGTAGGTCACGCTCCCCAAATTCCTACTAAACAGGAACGTCTGTCAGATCTTCTGGACTTGGCAGCTGAAGACTGGTACTGCCTTTGGGACTTCTGTCCCCTAATGACCACCGAGAAACCTGGGACTGCCGGGGTAGCTGGGAAGCTGTCTTACTTCTTACTATCCTCAGATCTGATGGTGTTTGATGACTAGGGTGCTTATAAATTGATAGAGTACTGACTATAAACAGTTTTCAGAAGTTCTTAAATTTCTGTGGATTTTACTGGCCCCAGCTTTTAGAGACAGGTTAGCATTAGAGAGGGTATGGAAGCTTGCAGGTGTCTTCAACTCTGTTCCTCCCTCACTCCTCAGCCTCTCTCCCTCCTCCTTCACTCACTCAACCTCCTCCATTCAGTACATTTCCTCTGGTTGCCCTCTCAGTACAGAGGTGTGTTTCATCGGGCTGAAACCAGCCCCTAGGAAAAATGTTCACACCTTTTAACACAAAGCCATAGCCTTTTGCTGTGACACCAAGATGGAAATCTGTTCCCGTTGTTTTACAGATACCTGCAGGCTCCCAAACAGGTCCACCCCTCTCCTTGTGCCAAGGCCAACCTGCAGGGGGTCCTCCAGATATACCAGCTCCTGCACCAAGCAGGCAAACCTCTCCAGACTGGAGGGCATATCTGCTCTTTTGTCTGGCTCATTTGCCCCTGCCTCTTCTGTACAACCAGGGCATATCTCCATTCCATTCTGTTCCCACAGCTAGCCCCGTTCATAGGGCCAGTGTTAATAATCTATTTTTCTTTTAATCTCCTAGCAACCTGCCTTTGTCTCCTCAAGAAACAGGTTCCTAAGGTCTCCAGGATGGCAACCAAATACTTCTTCACCCACATCTCCCACTGAGTGTGAGCCCACTGACTCCTGACTTGTCCCTCCCCATGTCGACCCTTGCCAACAGGAAGCAGCCAGACTTGAACCAGCATCCATAAATACCTGAAAAGGTTGGGATGTTGGCGATCTCCCCTGGAGCTGCCCTCTCCAGACCGTGCCCAAAGAGAGCCTGCCAAGCAGTGCCCCCAACCCTGGAAGGTATTTAAGGTCTAGCCCACAGACTTCCCCTTTACGGTTCTCCTCGTGGCTTCTCCTCGTTCCTGGGACCACCTGGGAATGTTTTGCTCAGATTAAACCTGGATTTATTAATTCGGCCTGACTTGACTGAAAGCATGGGTGGAATCACTCACTACTGGGGGAGTTTTACGTATCCAACAGGCCTTTGGAAGATGCCTTGAGTGACAGCCACTGAAACCTCGTTGGATTGGCAGTGCAAATCCAGGAGCAGATTCTCTACTGTTAAGATTCTCAGGAAGTGAGTTAGAGTTTCATAGGCTCAATCATAGAGTTCTAGACTAATTTTAATACAAGTAGCCAGAGCACTCCTTACCAGACCCTCACTGCTGGGAGCAATTTGTATTCAGCTTTCAGAACCCTATGCCTACAACCCAGTGAAAATGAATTTTCAGATCCCCTTGGTGGGAGATTAAATACATATTATATATATATATATATATATTAAAATATATATTTTAAATCATATATAAATGGTTTAATATATACACATATATGTGCATACACTGTGTGTGTGTGCACATATCCATCTCCCACATCCATCTAAGGATCAGACCAATTCTCCCTGACCCGATACCTTTCCAGTTTTCTCCCCACCCACCTTGGACAAACACTAGGAGGAGAGGCTGTGAACTGTGGCCTTGAATGGTGTGGATATATCTGAGCCAGCAGTGTGCTGTTTACCTAGAAGCCAGGGACCCCTGGGTCCTTGGCCTGCTCTGTGGCCCGCCTCTTTTAACGAGGTCAGAACCCAGCAGAAGGGGGAGGAAATGCCTGCCAGCTTGACCTCTCTGCCTTGCAGGCTGCTGGCGTCAGACTTGCTGCGTTCGCGTGGACTTTTCTGTTGACATTCCTGACAGCCCCTTTGGGCAAACTGAAAAACATAACTAAAGGTCAAGGGTCAAGTGGAAGGGAGTCCCCCTGTGAGAGCAGCTTCGTAAAGACAGTGCTGTAGGGCCGCTGCTTAGCACTAACTTTTTTTTGGGTGCTTTAAAGTAGTTTAAAATGGTGTTTAAAGGGGACCTGACACCCTCTACTGGCACTGCCCTAAAACAGCATTAAAATAAACTAAGGACAATGGGAATGTCCACAACTCATTTATTTGTGAGCATTGGCCCGAGTGACGGACATTTTATCGGAAGGTCAAACAAATCCACAAAATAGAAACAAGTATGCCTATATAAGGCTAAGAAAGCTGTGCCTTGGGGAAATTTTAAAAAGATGTCCTGAGGTCAGCTCAGATGAGAAATAACAGAAGCAGGAGGAGCAAGACACGTTTGTCAAACCCCAGTTGGAACCCTTCCTTTATACCTGTCATCGTCTAAATCTGGCAGTGTGCATTTGCCTGCCAAACGTGACGGCTTGGCAGAAATTTTATAATATAAAAAGTCAATAATTCTCTATGCGTAAGTGACTGTGTTTCTCTCCTCCACGATTTCTAATTTTCCTCCTTCCCCCTTTCTTTCATTTTCTTTCTTTTTTAGACAGTGTCTCGCTCTGTAGCCCAGGCTGTCCTCGAACTCACAGAGATCCACCTACCTCTGCCTTCAGAGTGCTGGGATTAAAGGTGTGCGCCACCACCGCCCCTGGCTTATTTCTTTTCTTTTTTTTTTTTTTCATCATGAATGTTTGTGGTATGTGAGTAGCCTTTGAGTCTCATTCACATTGTCTTCTTCTCTTTGTTTTTTCCACCCTCATCTCTCTTTTATTATAGGACATGGAGTGCAGCTAAAAGGTATTTGTTTAAGGATTTATTATGTATGCAGTGTTCTGCTTGCATGTATGACTGCCCGCCAGAAGAGGGCACCAGATCTCATTACAGGTGGTTGCGAGCCACCATGTGGTTGCTGGGAATTGAACTCAGGACCTCAGGAAGAGCTGTCAGTGCTCTTAACCTCATGAGCCATCCAAAGATATTTTGTTGTCTGTTTTATAATGGTTTTCAGGTGACCCACAATTACCCTTTGGGTTTTGGGTTTTGCAGAATAAGCCTATTTTCATGGCATAGTTTTCTGTCATATTCTGCGCCCCCTGCTGGGAAGGGAAAGTAATGTTC